AAAAGACAAGACTGTCAAGATGTGATCATATGTAAAAATATTCTTGTGTGCACAATGAGGATGAAGTCAACATTAGCATACACCAGGAGTGCTTAAGTTCAGTCCTGAAGAGCTACTGTCCTGCAACTTTAGATGCATCCGTACTCCAACAGACCGGAATCAAAAGGCTGAATTCCCTCACCAGCAGTCATTCAGCTCTGAACAGGCCTGCTAACGAGTCATTCATTGGATTCAGGTGTGTCAGAGCAGGGATGCATCTGAAAGGACGACAGCAATCCAGGTCAGTACTTGAGCGCAGCTTTTATTCACACTCTGAGAAGGATCCTAAGCAGAACCAGATGAAAAACATCAGCCCGATCTTGTTGCATTGTTACTCATTGACCAACTGGAGCATTATGAGAGGCTACGTGGATATGAGTTTCACCACCTAGAAGCTATTTAACAGTGAGGTGTATCGATTTAGGATTCCAAACTCTGATTCATAAGAGCCCAATTCAATTTGTGATTCAATTTGATTGATATTCAGTTCAGTTAAGGATATCATGCAGTCACAACGTTAGTTGTATATGAAAGACATTCTCTTAAGAACTAATGCTGCAAATAATAGAAACTAATTGTAATTGGTGCATTAGTAAAAATATGAATATTTACATTTAAAATTTAACCCAATTACATTAAGCATGTAGTTTCTACTTATAATCACCAAAATAAAAAGGCAATAATTTAGATAAATTCAAACCACCAACACTTCACCTACACTACCATTTAAACTCATTATGTGGGTCCTTGTTTGTAAAATGTACGGACAAACAATCATGGTTTTCCGGTGAGGTTGGGCAATGTGCACCATTTTCCCTGCCGATATTCATCAGTTCAACAAATGGTGATGGGTGAAACATTTGCACAGCAGATGTTTGGACTTTTTTGTATGCAGAACAATGTAAACATGAATGGAATGATTTGCCAATTTAGAACACAAAAATACAAAAATGAACCAAAGGTTTTTAGTTGCCAAAAAATAAAATACAATGTTACCTATAAGGTATTACTTTGGCTTTAAACGGGATAAAAGAGGTAAACTTCAGAGTGCAAACAAAACAGTTTGCCAGATGTGCAATTTCAGCAAAAACTAAAACACAACAAACTTGCATGAACATTATGTGTTCAGCATCCGGCTGATTATGCTATGCAACATCAGGGGCTGCAGACCACCAACAAGCTCTGGAAAAGCTTTTCACCAGTAGAAATATGACTAAGTACGAGAAGGACAGCCAGAGATGGACACAAGCGCAGCTTGGCTGTAAATAAGTCTGAAAGGAAAATGTACAAAAAGCATTTCCAATTTTTGTCACAAATATACATAAAGACCATACTGAACTCGTTTTCTGGACCACTGGTAATTTAACATATTTTTCTGTGGGCTGAAAAATATGCCCACATAATTTTTGTTTTTGGTTTTAATAAAACATTATTATTAACGTAATTCAGATAGTCCTTCATAGGTCCAAAATAAACTGGTGAAGGGATGAGCCTAAGAGTTAATGAATCTGTCCAATAGCTCAACCTTAATTTTCAGGTAATAAACAGAGACTTTTAAAAAAAAGTAATCGAAAAGTAATGTTTCACCAGGTAAAAAGTAATGTTTCACCAGCCGAGAAATTGCCTGTTGTGGTCCCAAAATATTTCAAGTCATTGTAGCAAGTTTTGCACACTGTTCAGCTCTTATCCAGTTTATTGCTACGATCCTGTTTTTTAAATCCAAAATATTTCCAGACAATCTGTCTTCAGGTTTGTTGGCAGTGCCACTTTGTTGTGCTACGAGTTCTCGCGTTCCACGAGAAGTCACGTAGCATTGTAGGATCAATTTAAGGGTTTTATGAATCCATGTCGATCCGTTCAATACAAATAAATTTTGTAAACTCAGCACAAAATTTCTTGACTCCATTGGTGTGGAACGAAAGTTTTATTCATATGAAGCTTTACTGGCACTCGTTTCATCACGTCATACTGGAGTTAAGTGTGTTGTGGATTTGAGGACTGATTTGTCTCCTTCAAACCAACAAATAAAAGTGTTATCAAGTTCACCAGCCATAAGCTCTCCATTTTAAGCTGGACTGGATGTCATTTGAGACTCGCCAGATGGTGCATAGTTCAAAATCCAATGACAGACTACCAATGGTTTCACTAAGTTGTCTTTATTCTTCACCATTTGTTGATTATTTTTATAATAACCATCCAAACTTGATTCTTCTTGTCTTTTTTTCATCCCATGTGTTGGATTTTGCAAAATGGTCTTTTCTGAATTGTATTTTTCTCAGCATCTGAGTTTATATCATCATTGCTGTTAATGCCTATCTTCTTTAGCTATTCAAGCAGTGAATGTTTTTTGGAATATTTTATATTCATGTCTTTATTTTCCAAGCAGAAGTGTGCTGCTATTCGATCTTCTTACGCTGGGATGTAACCAGAGAGTGTCAACATCCATAGAGTCAATAACTTTTGGCTCAATCTGTGTAGGCAGAAATTTACATTAGAACTCGCAGTCAAGCTTGGAACCTAGTGCAACATCCACTGGCAACACAATGAGAGAGTGCGTTCACACACAAAATCAGTTTTTCATTTTCTTTCACAGAAAATTATGTAAGGGTAAATGGATATTATTTGCATCAATCATATTTTAAAATTACTACCTACTTTCATTCAGTAAATGCGTTGAATGAAAATTAATGCATTTATTGTATTTAGACAGTATAATGTAACTAGGCATGGCACACATAAAGTGAAGATAAAACATTTTTTTTAAAATCTCATTAACATTGGTTTAATTTAGCTCAGTCTTACATGTAAAATGCCAAGCTGTAGTACGGTCACCAGAACTACAGGTTTTGTCTTATCATTAATATTCATTTGATAAAGTACAAATTAATGACCATAAATAATGGACTTGCATGTTCCTCTTCAATGCGTGAATCAAAGTGATGGAGTATCTGTATTTTTAGCTGTTCCTCACCACATTTCCCAAATTATCCGAATATGCCAACTTCCCACTATTGTGCGTTGTTGTCAGTGCAGGCTAGAGCATACGACTGTCACTGTCTGGATTAAATTATAACATTTATAATAATAGTATCATGTTTATACAATACATTACCATGTTTGTACAATATAATGTAATAATATGTTAGCTGGAAAATGCTTCCGTAAAATTCAGCAATGTGTTCACTTGCACTTGAAAATCTCAAATTTACAAAGTAAGCACTGGTTTAAAACTAGAAGGAGAGCAAATCAATTTTATAGGGAATTTTTTGGGCTTTATATCGTGTTATAATGTTATTCCCTCACTGAAAACATACCTGTAATCTTGCTTTGGTTCTTTCATGCTTCTTTGAGGAATCTTCAAGTCTTGCGTAGAAGCCACATTCAGAGTTGCCTAAACGTTTGGTCTAAGAAAACTCTGTCTGGCTCCACAAAGTTCCTTCTTGGAGCTGCAATCTGCAGCGAAGCTTCTGCTATGTTACTGTGCGTAATAAACGTAACAAAGTGCTAAGTGCATAGAAATTAAAATACTTTTCAGATACATTTCATTCTTGTGTCAAAAAGATTTGACACAGAACTTGGGGTTTCATCATCGGTAAGCCAGAATCATCAAGTTTACAAAAAGCAAAGGCATCAAATATTTTACTTTTTATATATAATTAATATATCCAATATATATATACACTGCTCAAAAAAATAAAGGAATCACTCAAATAACACATCCTAGATCTGAATGAATGAAATATTCTCATTGAATACTTTGTTCTGTACAAAGTTGAATGTGCTGACAACAAAATCACACAAAAATCATCAATGGAAATCAAATTTATTAACCAATGGAGGCCTGGATTTGGAGCCACACACAAAATTAAAGTGAAATGTTCCCTTTATTTTTTTGAGCAGTATATATTTGCCTCTCTGAAATGAGTGACAAAAAAATACTTAAGTTTTTTTTTTACCACAGGCTGATCTTTTGGTATTTGTGTGTTGCATTCAAAGATCATTGGGTAAATGCTTGGAGTTTCACTATCCAGGAGGGCACTTTGGAAACTTTTTTTAACGCCACTAAGTGTAATTGTAGTGGGTTTTTCAAAGAACATTGCTTTACTGTGGCAGGAAGTGCACTTTGATTGTATATGGTGTCATAGCCAATCAGATGCATTTGACAGTGGATCTCCACACCTCCCCCTGTTATTTAAGAATGAAGGGTCTCAATGAAGGCAGTGTCAGCATGTTTCTGTTATGGGCTTCACTGTTTCTTCTTCACCAAGGGCGTAAGTAGCATTTTTAATCAATTAAGTAACTGAATGATATGCAATTTATTCTATCCATTAAATATTTTTATGTTGTTCCTTACTGTTTTTATGTATTTTTTAATGATACAGATTGTTTGGTCCCAGTCGTCACGGTTCAACTCGGTGAACCTGTGACTTTGTCTTGTGCTTTTTCGGAGAGACTTCAGAGCACATGGCTTAACTGGTATAAACAGAGTGCAGGAGATACTCTGAAATTCATTGTGATGCAACAGAAAAGCATAGACCCAAAATATGATCCAAATGCACCTGCTTCAAGAATGAAAGCAACAATTGATGACAAACTCAGTAATCTAACGATTACGAAGACAGTTCTGCAAGATGAAGGAATGTATCATTGTGCTCGAATGGACTGGACTGAAACTATTTGGAGTGGAATTTACTTGTCAATTAAAGGTAATCATGTGATCTAATCATTTAATTGTTTTGTAATAAATGCAAGTTTCCTATACCCTCATAGCCACATTGGGCACAAAGTGAAATATTACCAAGATGCCTCTTTACTACTTTACCTATATAACCAATTCAATAGGAGTTTAAGTCATAAATGATTAATGAGTCTTAATACATTTTTCTTTTTAGTAAACTCCACCTTGCGTGCAAAATGAAATTATTTCAAAATATGTTAACCTATCCACACTGTGATTACCTAAAAAATATACATTTCAGAATATCCTAAATGCACAAAATTATACACAAAAAGTGTAATTAATTGCTGGGTCTAATATGTCATATGTAAAATAAACAGCAACAACTCAAATTTATCTGTTGTAAACAAAAAATAGTTTTACAGGACAGTTTTAAGTGCCTTTAAACTCTCCAAATTAAATAAAAACTGTGAATGAGTGAGAAGTAACATTTTCAAAAAATATCACAAGGACATATTCTGTTTTTGTGCAGTAAACCGATGTGACTAAAACTTTGAAAAGGAAAAACGCAGAAAACATGTGAGTACGGGAGTTGTGAAGTTACAAAAAGTTAAAACAAAAACTTTATAGAACAAACTAAAAAATATACAAGGAAAATGAATAAAATTATACAGTGGTAGACAAAGTTAACTTCATTATTCTTAAATATTTGTCCATGTTGCCTTAGAAAAGTTTATGCTTAGTTCTTGAATGATAATCAACTATATTTATGTTGTACCAATAGTTATAATAGTTTGACAAATTCATGAAAAGCGATTAAAGTAAGATGTTACTTTTTTCTTTGTATTTGTTCCCCTTATTTTTTCTTGTTTTTTCATTTCTTCATAGGAAAATCTCAAAGGACAATGAGCTACACTGTTCTTCAGAACCCAGTTTCTGATCCCGCCCGCCCAGCAGACTCAGACACTCTTCAGTGTTCAGTCATCTCTGAGTCTGAGGACAAAGCTTGTTCAGGGGAACTCAGTGTGTTCTGGTTCAGGACCGGATCAAAACAGTCTTATCCAAGTATCATGTACACTAATGACAAAGGACTGCATAATTGTGAGAACACATTGACATCAAATGCTCAGAAAAAATGTAGTTACAGCTTTTCTAAGAACTTAAACTCCTCTGATACATTGTACTGTGCTGTGGCAACATGTGGAGAGATATTATTTGGAAAAGAAACTAATCCATCAGCAGGTATGATTTTTGTATATGATGTATGGTGCCGTAAACTACGTAAATGTTACTTCTCTAAAGACAGTAACATCTTTCCTTCCCACTTGTTTTTCAGATCAATCACCAAGTTCTAAAGTTAATGTGCTGATGATCATAATAATCTGCTTGGTCATTTCCTTGACTATAAATATTGTTTTTATTTGTCACCGATTTCAAAGATCAGTATGTAGAAACTTTAAAGGTAAGCTATTTGCTGAGTTACTATTTTTGCCACAACTTAAATTGTTAAAAAACAAAAACATATATAACTGAAATGTTTTGAAATAAAACTAAATTAAAGTGCACCTTTTGATGATACATTTTTGATGAATTTTATTTCAACAGCAAAACACAATGAGAATCAACCAGATAATTTTGTAAGTGCATATTAACAAATTACTTATTTTTGTATAAAATGCTTTACACAAGTGCTGTCTGTGACTCTAACAATTTAATGTACTTTATTCTTTCCACTCAGACTAAAGATGAACAAGATATGAACTACGCTGCCTTACATTTCAATGACGGAAAAACTTCAAGAGGAACGATAAAAAGACAGTTGAAAACTGATGAAAGTGTGTATTCACAGGTCAAATATGAATTTGCAAATGTCCAGATTCAATAAAAACTGGATCTACAAAATCTTGTAGATCCAGATCTATCTGCAGCAAGAGTTGAGAAATAATAAATTGAGAGATATCATAATTTACTAATTCATCATCTTCTTTTAACAACTTAAAAACAAGAAAACTCCAACTGTCCTGGTTGCAAAAGCACATTTCTTTTTAATGTTTTGGAACAGTTTTATGTTATAAATCTTTGCACCATAAATATCTGCACAGTTCTAGAAAACTGCAAAACTCATTCCTTTAAATTAAAGCTAAAGTCCAATTTGTTGCTATTTAATAAAAGTTGGAAAATCATAAAGTTTAGTCTGTTTTTCAGTCTGTCCTTTTGCCACTGCAATGTGATAGTTTTTGCTTGCTTCTTGTTTTATTCTCCTACTCACACAAAGCACTTTGAATTACCTTCTTGCTGAAATTGTGCAATAGAATTAAAATGATCTTGCCTTGCCTTCTGGATTCGACAAGTATATGAATTTCACCACCTAAAAATCTAGATTGCTTCTTCAGACAGTTGTGTGTTACTCTCAGGAAGTTATACAGAAAATAGAATAATTTTGATCTCAGCATCTGGCCATCCACTGTTTTTTTTCCCCCTACAACCTCCCTGGTAAACTCTTTTCCCTCTTCTGAATATAAAACTATGGTGTGACTCAGTGTTTCTCAGCCCTGGTCCTCAGTGCCCCCCTGTCCTGCATATTTTAGGCATTTCCCTTCAGCCACACTCCTGAATTGTATCTCTGGGTGATTAACAGGCTTCTGCAGTACTTGATGATCATGCAATCATTTGAATCAGCTGTTCTGGAATAGAGGTACATCTAGAACATGCAGAGCAGGGGGGCGGTGAGGACCAGGGTTGAGAAACACTGGTGTGCCTGGTCAGAATTTTGTGGATAGACTATTTTAGGTGGAAAATGGCATCAACAGGATGGATAGTTTTGAGGAACAAGGTGCTACAGCAGGAACAGAGAAAATACCCCCTACAATATCATCAATTTCTGAGAAAATTGTGTTTACTAAATATATTAGTTGAAGTCATGAAGAGATTCCTCCATGCTTTAAATAGCAATTTCAGAGGTTTCAAGATGGTAAACTTTGTGTTTGAATTCAGCTCATTTACAAAGTAAATGAGACACTGCAGAGAGGTGGGAAAACTACCAGCTGATTGACAAACAGTACCAGCTTTTGTTTGTGATTTACACACTTTTGTTATAATGAGCTGAAAGTTTGAAAGCAGGGCCAGACCTCACCACTGCTGCACTGGATGAGATTTTATTTGGTATCCCCAACTCCACACCAAATATTGCCTCTTCTTTTTTTGTTATTTTGAAATGATGATCACCAAAACACAAATTAGAAATACATGAAAAATATTGAACATACTCTGATTTCATCACCTACAGGATATGGTCAGGCAGCAGGATCTATTGGTGCAGCCGCTATTTCTGATGCATGGATGAGTTCTTGAGACATCGTGTCAATAAGAGATGAAAAAAATCAAGTTTCTTTGACTTCTCTGAGTGTTTCCAGTGCTGACTAGAAATAACAAATCACAGCCTGGAGGCAGATCTTAGAGCTGTCAATCAATCCTGTGTGCTTGCTGCTGACTCCTGTAACAGAAAAACCATTTCTCTTCCATTTGCGTATTTAGCAGAGGTTGGTTGACAACAAGAAGACACTCCTCCTGCCTCTGGTTGGTTGTTTTTAGTGGGAAGTGGTGCATTTCTTCCAATGACTATGGCAATGTTTTTTTTCACTGAGTATCTGTTTCATTTTATGCTGCAATGACTGTGATAGTTGTAGCAAATATGTAAAAAAAAAAAAAACCATTAAAAATTACATACAGCAGGTTTAAATGTGGTAATACTTTGGTGTTCAGCCAATTAAGTGCAGAATCTTTCACATTAGGAAATTATTACCTATAATTATTAGTTGAAGTCGAGGTCTAAATGGCCATCCCGGCGTGGAGTATCTTTTCTTCTCTGTGCGTCAGCGCTCGGTATGAAGCCATGTAGCAATAGCTAGCAAAACTACTACTAACCCTGCACACACCACGAACTCTAACTAACACACTTATAGTCTAAAAAACCCATCGAAATACTCTTAGTAAAATCCACAGCATCACTGTGCCCTAGTCTCTTGCCGTAGCCAAATCTCCCCCCCTCGTCACTTTCCGCGAATCTCCATTCTACCTAGCAACAGACCGTCAACACATTTTTATTGGTTGTTTCGAAATGTGGTACATTTAGACCCCACAAAATAAGGCGGAAATGATCGATCTTATTTCTGGCTTTATTTTGAAGTAAATAACCACAAAACCAATATAAAAACACCACTTTTATAAAGTTTGAAGTCCGTGCTGTCCAACAGAGTCGAAATGAAAACTCGGTATGCGTCCATGTTATTACGAAGCCTTATTAACGCGTCACATGCTTGTACGCCACACGGCAGGCAGCGACTCCATAGTAAAAGTTAAAATTTTGTCCTTGCCTCTTTCATGGTTTCTCCTAGATGACTGGCGCCTTAGCATTTGCAGATACATCTTGTGCCACTGGCTAGTGCTGTTTCAAATTAACTGATAGCTGATTTGTAGAGCCACTTCATTACCCTCAACCAAGCCTGTGAAAGGCTGTTGGAAAAAAAAAATCCCAGCCCAGGTCCCTTTTCCTTTTCCAAATGCTCATGTATATTTATATATTTGTTTGTTTTATTTATTTATTTATTTATTTTATTTATTTATTTTTTTTGGGGGGTGGGGGGCTCCAGTTGCCTTTATTTGAGAGTGGTTAGACAGCAACCACTCTCAAATAAAGGCTGGGACCTTTGCGGTCATATGTGAGTTGTGCTTTTCCTGTGTGCCACCACAACATCTCACATTTATTAAATCAGTGAATAAATAACATTAATATATATTTATAACTCAATAAGCCAGACAAAAGTCTGCACACTTTCCAAGTTATAACTACCTGTTGATTGTCAAAACTGGAGGTGCATTGCAGAGGAATGTAAATGACAAGCCTTTGTCAACAACCTGAGTAGCTGATCAGGTTTGTGGACATTTTAGTGAAACTTTGAGGGCTATTTTCTCTCACATCTTGTTTGCATCCGTCCATTCATCCATCTATTTTCTGCACATCCTTGTCTCTATCGGGGCTAGGAGGGCTGCTGGTGTCTATCTCCAGCGAACGTTTCAGTCGAGAGGCGGGGTACACCCTGGACAGGTCCAAATGGCCTTATTTTCTTTTTGTTTTGTTTGTTTTTAAGGTTTTTAAATGTTTGATATCATGCGAAAGCTTAGAATCCACACCTTTGGTATCTGTAAATAGCTCAAAACACCACCAGGGAGAATTGTTCCTGGTTTTGTTGTGGTCAGTCACAATTGAAGTGTGACTGACCACACAAACTGAACAAAATAATTCAAAATGCCAACATACAGTGACTGGCTTTGGCCAGGAAGACACGAGAAGATGCAATTTTATATTTATAGATTTGTTCTAAAGAAGTACTGTAAGAAACGTGGTTGTAATGGTGAAGGTAGTGAAGCTCAGTTTTACCTGAAACATTTGATGAGGCATTTTTGCCTTATCAGGCAATATTAAGGCAAAGAAGATAAGAAGTCAGATATGTGAAATTATTTTAGGAAAATGTGTTTCATTCATACATGCCCATAAAGTAACTTTGAGGAAGTGAATCTTTTTATTTATTTAATCTTCTGTTAAATAAATATGAAGAAGATATGAATATTAGCAGGTTGTTAATATTTAGTTTTGTTTGTTAAATAACATGGCACAATGTCAAAGTTTAATCATGGTGTTTTTCATTTTGATTTCATTGCATAAAAATTGTTAGCCTCACTAATTTGTCCCACTCAGGCATCTTTTGCCCGCAGAATTCATGAAACGTACAGCAGACATGTTTTCCAGACATTAGACCCGGGATACTTAGATGTGCCGTAACGTAATGATGTGCTGGAATTATGTTTTACAATTTTAATTACTGCAGATTAAAATTTGCATTGCTGACGTATTTTTGTATTCTATTTATTATTTTCACTATTATAATGCTCATTGATAAAGACAAAGCTCTGACCAGGATGAAGGCTACCTGATCCTAAAAAGCATGAAGACCATTTTGTGCCTTTGCTAGATGAGTATAATGTCTTGTACAAAATCTGTGATATAGCCGTCTTAAAAAAAGAGGTGATGACTTGTCTATTTGTTTCAAATAAAATAGTTTTGCACACTGAAAATAGGCCTCGTTGTGGCTGCAAACCCCCTTGAATGTATGTTCATTCGTAGCCAATCAGATGCATTTGACAGTCTGAACGACCACACCTCCCTCAGTTTCTAAAGCATTAAGTGTCTTTATGACGACAGTAGCAACATGACTCTGCTATGGCTTGTACTGTTCCTTCTTCATCAAGGATGTAAGTGGATTTAAAAGCAGAACATTGACTTTTTTAAAAGCAGAACTTTTTAAAAAGTTTAAAAAAAACCTTTTATCTGTAAACAGTTTTTCTTTTTTTTTAAACTGATCTTTATCATTTAACGTTTCTTTTATCTACTGCAGATACTTTAGTTCCTGTGGTCACAGTCCATCGTGGGGAACCGGTGACTTTGACATGCGTAATGACTGAGAAGTTTGAAACTGTGACCTGGGTTCACTGGTACAAGCAAAGTGCAGGACATACTCTGATATTAATTGCAATGCTGCGTAAAAGTACAAGTACAATGCCCACCTACGGCCCGGGATTCTCAAAATCAAGATTCCAAATAACATATATTGACAACATGAGCAACTTGATAATTTCATCAACATTAGAACAAGATGAGGGAATGTACCATTGTGCTTATATGGACTGGACTGAATCTACTTGGACTGGGACCTATTTGTCATTAAAAGGTAAATATCCTTGGTGTTTTTTTCATACCAAAAACTGGCATTCAGTGACATTGGGGAAGTATTATTTGGAATTAAAATATCTGAAGCCCCTCTTAAAACTCCTCCAAAACTAGCATTTGGTTAAACACAGTGATGGCTCTTTTCAAATAAGATGTCTGAAATATAACATAGTGGAATACATTCTTGCTTGAAAGAGTGTTAAAATATTATTCATCCGTAATACTGTTTAAATACCTTTTGAACTGAAGTTTCAGTTGAATTTAGATTTTTTTTTCCTTTTTTTTTTTACAGAATGTGCCGTCTTCATCCCATTAGCTTTCTTACTGAAACTGAAATACAGTTATTTCAATGAGAACTCACTTGCATTTACAAAACACATTTGAAGACACAGTATAAGCAGAATATTATTTGAAAATTTACTAAATTAAGTATTTAATTGGGTAACACTTTATTTGAAGGGGTGTGCATAAGACTGACATGAGACTGTCAAAAACATGACATAACATCTGTCATGAATATAAAGAAGTTTTTATGAATGTTTATGACAGCTGTCATGAAATGTCATTCGGTAAATAATGACACTCTTAATGCAAAGTTGCTCTAAAAGTTGCATTAAAAGTCCATTAAAAGTGACAACATTGCATTAAATTATAATTTACAAAATCATGCAAAGTTTTGAGCAGAAGGGAAGGGAGCTAAAGATTAGGGTGATGACCTGGAAGCTTTCAGCCTCGAAGATCTGGAGCTCATCTCCAGCAATAAATCATGAAAATACTAGCGGAAATATGCAAAATGTGGTGAACATTTCATAAATGCAATGCCAATAAAGACTAAAAGCCCCATTAGTTATTAATAAGGGTAAAAAATAAAATTTTCAAAATAAAATGTAAATAAAACATAACTTTTATAAAATATTTGTCTTTTGAGTAAAAGATGCCACATTTTCAAAAATAAAAAGATATTTTAAAATACATTTGCAAAGAGTATTTCCTTTGGGCATCACTTTAGATATGACTTTGACCTACATATATGTTAAGAGTGTTAAAAACTTTGCTCTGTTTTTAATAAAACATAAAAAATAAATAAAAACGTATATCTTCAATACATCTTTTAGTTTAAATCAAAATGTCAAAGCTCTTTTCTCAGTTGTGTTGTTCTTTCATTTCTTCACAGAAAACTCTCAGAGGATTTCGAGCTTCACTGTCGTTCAGGACCCAACACTTTCTAATCCCGGCAGTGACACAGACTTAGAGACTCTGCAGTGTTCTGTTCTCTCCGACTCTGTAAATGCAACCTGCTCAGGAGAACCCAGTATGTTCTGGTTCAGAGCCATATCAGACACATCCTACCCAGATTTCATCATCGCTGAGGGAAAAATACCTGAAAACTGTGAAAAGACGTCAAACAATCAGAAGAAATGTAGTTATAATTTCAGTAAAGTTGTCAAATCATCTGAAGATGCCATTTATTACTGTGCTGTGGCTGCATGTGGAGAGATACTATTTGGAAATGGAACCAGTCTGAATAAAGGTATAATTTTATATAATTAATTTTGAAATTAAAACGTGTCAAATTAATCCCCAAGTCAACTCTAAGCAAATCCATGTTAAAATGTTATCTTTAATGTTGATATGACTTTTTTTCTTGTCTCAATAACATTACAGAATCAAATCTGTGGTCACAGGAGGCCATCACAGTCATTTTCCCACTGTCCTTTGTTTTAGCCATGAGTCTGATAGTTATAACCATTCTCATATGCTTCATCAACGCAAACACATGTGACCATTTTCAAGGTAATACCAAATATTTATTCTATGCTTTTTAAATAAGAAAGTTTTTGATCTTCTCTTAACATTTTTATTTTACTATCTAGCTACTAACCTGAATAAAAATCGCTCTCAAAGCCAGAGTCTGGTAAATATAGATAACACAGTTATCAAATACTTTGTTGCATATTTTCTGCCACAAGTGAGTTTTAATGTTTTTTAATTTTTCTTCCAGAAACATGAAGATATATGGACCTATTCTACTGCAATGTTCACAATAAAAACTGACAGTGCTGAAACAAAGAAAATGCCAGAGAAGATGTTCAACATACATTTTCACTGATTTATCTGGTTCACGGTTGTTTGGAGCCAAGTCTCATAACATTGTTGATGAAATTTGATGTATGACTTTAATTCAATAAGTTTGTTTCCTGTTTGTGCATTTTTACCTCATGAACATGAGCTGAAAACGACTTGTTCCACTTTTTGTCACATGAACAGCTTTATGGTTTTAGGGCATTGACGACTAACATCTCAAGAAATTACGGGAACTCAAAAACTCAGAAATCAGCCCTCAGATTTCATTGTTGTGGGTTGATTTTCTGTGAAATGACAAAAACTTAATTGATGATACTAACTTGTGTTGGTAGAATAGTTAGCCAGCAGAAAGGCTGAGGTAGTAGATGTCATCCATGTAAGGATGGGTGCTGTTACTCACGTTATCTGACCTAATATTGTTCAACAATTTAAGTGTTTATAGATAAATTGTATTATAAGGCCATGCACAAATACAGAAAATACATTGGCTACAAAAGGACACTCATTCCAAGTCTCTCTTACATTTTCTGTCTGCTTTTTTTTTGTGTTTACATAAATATGCACCAAAAATAAGCAAATGATAATTTTCATGAAAAAATTTTATTTTGTGTTCTTTAATATGCTAAAAAAGCTGTCAATATGCAAAGTGATATTGTCACCATTCTGAAACAATGGGATAAGTCATTCTTTTCAGAAGTGATTTTTCTTTGCCAAAATTGTTACAATTGTTTTTCATATGTTTTATCATACTAGTAATAGCATACAGCATATTTTTGGTTGTTTTAGCACTTACTCTGTTTCTGTCTTATTCTGCCTACACATCCTTTTAGCATTTTTATATTTTAGCATTGATGTATTTTAGTTTATTGTTACATACTTCAATATTTCAGAATTGTATATAGTATTTTAATCAAACGCAGAAGTTAAAAAAATCTAGCAAAAGTGAAAATATGATAAGGATATTACATTGTGACTTATCTCTTATGTTGACTGAACTTATGCAATAAAACAATACAAAGGAAATACATTATGGAAATGGCTGAAATACATCACACTGTAGAAATCAAATCTGATAGTAAAATAAACTTTTTGTTATTCCTACTTATACGTGTACACACTGTTTTCAGATGAATCATTGAACTAACAGGATATTCACAAGATCATTATGCCTGAAACACTTTTTTGATTCTACATATTTCTCTACATATGGTATTATTTAATGACAGCCTGCCAAAAAAAGAAACGGATTTGTTACAAAAATGTTTTTGTACACTCATTAGGAAGTTTGACCCTTCATGTTTTTCTTCATTTCTCCAGCTTCCAGATACTGGACCTACATATATGTTAAGAGTGCTGATTAGGCACTTAAGCTGCATAATCAGCAAGCCTTTGCCCCAACCTCAGTCTCTGCAGGCATTAGCAGCTGTCTCCATTAACTTCCTTCTCGTCTCCACCCGCTCTCCGGCCTTCTCCCTTCCCTTGTCCCTCGTTATCCTATATCACTTTCATTACGATGGTATTCAGTTCAGTCTTTAGACTAATCAAATTAGTCAAACAAGAATAGACTTTTGTAAATACACAAGTTTCCTCTAGAAACGCCTCAGATCACAGATCTAAAGTAAACGTACAAAAAATGTCATTCATTCATTCATTTATTCATTCATTCCTTCATTCATGAATGAAGGAATGAATGTTCATTCATTCACTAATTTTATTCTAAAATTGACTAAATGGCAATGTCCTACCAGCAAAGTACCTTCACTAGATTTAAGCTGACTCCTTTGTTAGTGTCCATTTCAGCAGCTGTAAATCTGCTGCAACATGGCTTCTTTTCCAACCATGAGCAATGGCATATTTGAAAATGAGTTTTCAGCAGATCTAAACATAAAGAAATGAAGTGCAACAGTGGCTCCTGATGCAGTCATGTACTGGATATGTGCTATCATGGAGGGTGCACCATAGTGTAGTCCAGAGATTTGCCAAATGAACCTAAGTCATTAAGAGACATTTGGGAGAAGTCCTAACCTTTTCTCAGAGAAAAATAGAGCTTTTTGATGCTCATTAACAAATATATACGTCATCTATATTTAACCTAGGTGACATATGTTTCTTACATTTATCCTACCTATAGGTAAAATATGTTAACTAGGTAACATACGTTAGGTAACACTCAAAGCCTTTGTGCTTTAAGTGCATAAATATTTACAACAGCGTTGCTATATCAAAAATATAAGTGAGAGCCTTGGCTTTATTTATTGTATATGTGCAATCCGAAAAATGGGAAAAGTAGAAAACTGAGGCGTTTCTGGACGTGATGTGTATTTACATAAGTGTATTCTTGTTTGACTAATTTAATTAGTCTGAAGACTGAACTGAATCTCATAGTTATGGAAGTAGCTCAGGATAACGAGGGACAAGTGAACTCTACATTTGAGGAAAGAACCTGGGTGGGTAATCTTTAAATCTCACCTCCAGGAGAATTATTCTCATGCAACTCAGAAAGTTGAGGCCATTTAATCACAACTCCAGCTGAGGATATTTTCAGATGGTGGAAGAAGCATTTTGAGGATCTCCTGAGTCAGTCTGTTTGTAATAAAGTGCCCAACCAAAAATCTTGATTTACCTTTCTGTCACCTAGCCTGGCCATTGCCTTTTTACACAATTCTGCTTAATGCTCATTTCCCTTTAGTGCTGTGAAGTGGACATTGTCCCACTGAGCCAAAGTCCTCTGATATAATTTCAACGGGCCCAATCAGCGAACAGAAGGAGAAGTTGTGAACAGTGGCATCAATTTTCTGAGCTGTTTGAATTGTAATCTGCCTGTAGTTTGGAAATGGCAGCACAGGAAGTGAGCAAAACCTTTCAGACCATGTTGGCCATTTGTCCAAAAACTGAATTAGAATTAATAGCTGCCTCATTCGACTCACTGATTCTCAGTGAGGGATGGTTGCTTATAGCATAGGCAATTTCTGGTAAGCTTCATAGCGTCAAACATCAACTAGTTACTCTGCAGAAAGCTACCAACCTTTATGAACCCCCCCATCTAAGCATTTGCTGATTCATCTCTGTGATTTTATGTGGCCTACCACTCTTTAACTCAGTTTCTGTCATGTTCTCTGCAGAAACACTTTGTCTGTTAATCCAATAGATAAGTTTACGTTTAGATTATAGCATGGGGTTGTATTTTGGGAACAAGGTTTTATACATTCGCTCCTTTACAAGGAAACTCTACTTGCCAGAGACAATTTTATGCTCCCAACAGTTTGAAAACAGTTTGGAAATAACTTCTTCCTGCTCCAAAGTGACTGTGCACTAGTGCAAAGCAAAGTTTATGAAGTTACAAATTTGTGAACGTAATGTAGAAGAGCTGGACCAGCCCTGTAGGACTAATTAGAGCATTAATAGTCTTTCTTATCCAACTTCAGTTTCTTGACTTATCAAAATATTTCATGTCATTTTAAGCCCTTTGAATTAAGAATGGGAAGTCTCCAAAGGCACAAATAACTTTTGGCAGTACAAGTGTACAATGAAATAATTTTGATCACTTTATAAGTTCAGAAGTGGGGCGACTGGCTGTGTGGGTAGAGTAGTCGGTCTTGCAATCAGAGGTTGTAGGTTCAATTACAGCTTCCACATGTCGATATGCCTCTGGGCAAGGCACTTAACCCAAAATTGCCTACCAGTGTATAAATGTGTGCATGTTTGTGAGTGCAAATGGGTGAGTGTGACTCCAGTGTAAAGTGCTTTGAGTGGTCAAAATGACTGGAAAAGTGCCATTTAAGTTCAGTCCATTTACCATTCATAACTTCAAAATAAAAAATCTATGACTAGAACAAAATGTTTGTATTTAGATGGTTTCCATTCTATGTGACTGAGATTGAGCAGTTTCTAGATAAAATGAGCCAAATTTCCACTTTTATATTTGCAAAGTTGGCAGCGAGAGATTCCCGAAAAGACATGGAAAACTGATCTTTACCATTTCACATGTGAAAGATGGTCTTGCAAAGTATTGACTCTAGGTGGTATAAATGCTCACCATAAAGATTAGTAAAAATTACATTTTCCTTTCTTTTCCCTCCACTTTACAAAATATGCTTTTTAATGTTTATCTATGACAATAAATCCCAATATAAAATTGAAAGTCCATGTAAAATCCTCATATTCTCATTTTTAGTATTTAATTGTTTTATTCAGGTATTTCAATTTTGAATTTTTTTGCTTGTACCTATATGACTTGCTATTACCTCAGAAGTATTACCAATCACAAATCTTACAGTACTACTGTAAGACTATTCATAAAATCAACATTTTTATAGAGTCTACTTCAGTTTTTTAACAGCATGATACTGAAAGACTCAGCACTTCAGAAATATCAGTATTTATGTGGACTCTGTCATAATTAATAGGGATTTTAAATGAGAAAATCTGGAAAACCTTAACGGCCTAGAATAAAGACAAAAATCTGACCAGTTAATGGCAGTGGGTGAAAACCATCTGATTATAAAAAGCATAAGAGAATCCAACTTCTGGCCTTGCACAAGTTCGCTAAACTTGTGTAATGTTTCATGCAACATCTAATTACAGATACAAAAAGGTGTTAACTTGTCTATTTGCTTCAAAACTCCTAGGAAATGCCAGTAAGTAGAAATGATTGCAAAGAAAGGGGGCTTCATTGTGCCACCAAGCCCCCTTTGATTGTAAATTCTTTCGTAGCCAATCAGATGCATTTGACAGTCTGAATGACCACACCTCCCTCAGTTTCTTAAGCTTTATGTGTCCTTATGAAGACAGTAGCAACATGACTCTGCTATGGCTTGTACTGTTCCTTCTTCATCAAGGATGTAAGTACATTTAAAAACAAAATCTTGTCTTATTGAAGATTTTTTTGTTTTATTTTATCTCTGATCTGTAAGCAGTTTCTTTAAAACTGATCTTTATCATTTAACGTTTCTTTTATCTACTGCAGATACTTTAGTTCCTGTGGTCACAGTCCATCGTGGGGAACCGGTGACTTTGACATGCGTATTGACTGAGAAGTTTGAAACTGTGACCTGGGTTCACTGGTACAAGCAAAGTGCAGGACATACTCTGATATTAATTGCAATGCTGCGTAAAAGTACAAGTACAATGCCCACCTACGGCCCGGGATTCTCAAAATCAAGATTCCAAATAACATATATTGACAACATGAGCAACTTGATAATTTCATCAACATTAGAACAAGATGAGGGAATGTACCATTGTGCGTATATGGACTGGACTGAATCTACTTGGACTGGGACCTATTTGTCATTAAAAGGTAAATATCCTTGGTATTTTTTTCATACCAAAAACTGGCATTCAGTAACATTGGGGAAGTATTATTTGGAATTAAAATATCTGAAGCCCCTCTTAATATTTTATTTGTCCAGTTTATCCTTCACAATTTAGAGAATAAAAATGGTAAAACAAACTCTTGTTTGTAAAATTGCTTAAGTTATTACTCTAAAGTTATAATTTAAGCAAGTAAGACTGAAGAAACTAGCTCAAACACTTTTTCAAAAAAAAATTCCAGTTTCAATTTATTTTTTAACAGAATGTGTTCCCTTAGTTAATCAAAAAATAATAAAAATAAATCTGATATTCTACAACAGTGAGTTTTCTTATGCAATCTGGAAAACATATATTCCAATGAAAATTCATAAAAAAAAAGACAAGATAATTTGCAGTCAGTTGTGACTTTTGTTGATAATCGGTTATGCAGTCTTAACTAAAATATGTTAGCAGAATATTTAAATATTTTAAAAGTTAAATATTCCATTAAAAATAGCTTAAATATAAGACTACAAACTTCTGATGATGAAAAACAATTTTATTTGTCGACAATTTCCTCACTGTTAATTTTCTGACATGAAAAGTGTTTTGAAACGACACAGGCAGCTACAAATGATTTGTGAAAAGAAAAAAAAAATTCTTTGTCTTTATTTTCAGACAACGCAACCATAAAATTAATAAAAATATTCCCTGAAATCAAAATTGTCTCCTATCAAAAACCCCACAGAGTTAACACCATTGTTGTTCATACCCATGGGAGATTTAGTTTAAAGTAATATTGTAATTTGACTAATATGTTTATTATCTTTAGAAGTAATACCGACAGTTTGGAGTGGACCAGCAGGTCCACTCCAAATAGGGAATTGAAATCAAGAGAATTTGTGTAGCTAAAGATTAGGGTGATTATAAGGAAACTTTCAACCTCATAGATTTAGAGCTCATCTCCAAATACCAGTGGACACATGCAAAAAGCTGATGAGACACAAAACGATGGTTATCTGCAATGGATATAAAGATTTACATATCAATAAAGGCATTAATCATTTCCAACATGCTAGTTTTTTTTTATTTTATTTATTTTTTATAAAATACAAGAGAAAACTGAATATAAATCTGAAAAGGGATGAACAATTTTGAGCTTAGCTACAAGAGACTTTGGTCTACATGTTAAAATTGTTAAATCCATCTATTAAAAAAAGGACAGTTATTTAAAAAAACAACTCAGTTATTAACAGACAATGGAAAAAACAAACACATTTTTAGTATAAGTATTTAGACTTTCAACTAAAATCAAGATGCTGGATCTCTTGTTCACAGCTGTGTTCCTTATTGTCTTCACAGAAAACTCTCAGAGGATTTCGAGCTTCACTGTTGTTCAGGAGCCAACAGTTTCTAATCCCGCCAGTGACACAGACTTAGAGACTCTGCAGTGTTCGGTTCTCTCCGACTCTGTAAATGCAACCTGCTCAGGAGAACCCAGTATGTTCTGGTTCAGAGCCATATCAGACACATCCTACCCAGATTTCATCATCGCTGAGGGAAAAATACCTGAAAACTGTGAGAAGACGTCAAACAGTCAGAAGAAATGTAGTTATAATTTCACTAAGGTTGTGAAATCATCTGAAGGTGCCATTTATTACTGTGCTGTGGCTGCATGTGGACAGATACTATTTGGAAATGGAACAAACCTTGTAAAGAGCGATCAAGGTATTGTGTGTATTGTGCCATTTGTGTTACCATAAAAAAAATCCTGCTTTTCTGAATCAATGATCTTATCTGCCTTTGTTTTCCAGATAAAAAAACAAGTACAATAAGGATTGTGTTGGTGATTATACTAATCTGCTTGGCCATTTCTGTGACCTTGAATATTATTTTTATTTGTTACCGAGTTCAAAGATCTCAATTTAAGGGTAAGTGTAATTTACTAATTTAATGTTTTAAAACCACAGTCACATTAATTACCATGTTCTATTTACTCAGAGAGTTCCTCTTCTCAACCAAGACACAATGACTTAAGCCAACCAGGAAATGAGGTAAATAATATTAAACTATAATTATTATTACAGCTGACTTAGTGTAACAATGAACAACAGAGCTGGTTGTAACAAAATGGATTGAAATGGATGTATTTTTATCTTTTTTCCACAGACTGACAAAGGTCAGGATCTGAATTATGCTGCATTACATTTCTCTGAAAGGAAAGAGCCAAGAGGAATGAAGAAAAGAGAACTGAAGACTGAAGAAAGTTTATATTCACAAGTTAAAGGACAGATGTCAAGATGATTGGCTCTAAGCTTATATGGGATACTGACATTGTGATAAAAGACAGTTCAGTGTTTTCAGATTCATTGTAACTGCGACGAGTGAGACAATTTGTAAAAGTAATTTTTTGTAAATTTTTTTTAGAGTTTAGTGCTGTACTAAAATCTCATCAGTTTAATGAAATGGCCTCAAATTCTTGTGTATTGAAAAATTTCACCTAAATGAGGTTCTTTGTGTGTTTGAAATAAAGCAGCTTTTTATGTTTTTCTTCAATTAAAAAATGTGTTTAAAAATATAAAATTCATGAATAAATATTTTGATGAAGTAGTTTCAATTCATGTTGACTGAGCTGCACATTGTTTTGGTGAACACATTTTAGAAGATACCAAATAAAACTAATTGTTAGTGATGGGCTCGTCTTGGTTACAAGGATTTTCAACTTGTAATAAGCTATATTGTCTCATCCCCATGTTTATCCAACTCTTCTTCACTGTGGTTCAAAGTGTCCCGCTTCTGGCTAAAAACAACATCACAGAAGACCTTTGGTTATTGATCGGTGAGGGGTTAGAATCACTAGTTGTGTCTCAGGAGCAACTCTCACGCTCAAAGTTGCACAACGTTTCAGACTCTGGGGTCATCCACCATCAACCCCACCCACCTGAGCTGTTACTCAATTGTCATGAAAAACCACCTGAACTGTGCTGAGCTCAGTCGAGCTGCGCTGAGCATTTACTAATAGAAAAAGATTATAAAAGGCTTGTAAAAATACATAAGTTCAGCGTTTTATCATTTTACAGATCAGATCCCTGGTAAAAATGTTCAGCACACTAACAGTTCATTACTTACTGGAGTAGTTTATGCTACACAGACTAACATGGCAAGAGAGAGACGTCATATATCAGAATCAGTACTGATGTTACCAATCAGAAATGCTAATCCAGTCAGACTACAAGCTGAAAACATAAATACCTGGATGAATCTTAATTTCAAGTTTGAATGAAAGCTAGTTAGTCAGTGACTTAATCTGAATGGTATTAAGTTGGACATCAGTAATAACTCTTGTGTATATAACATATTATTTAAATCCCATATAATGCCTGGTTGATACAGTAAGATTTTAAAATTGCTGATGAATTTTCAAAACCTGTGAAACCACACGGTAAAAACCCCCAGGTCAGGTATATCAAGTTTGGTTGTGCATTGTGTGGTCTAAAGCTACACAAAGACAGCATGCCTCACTTAAATAAACATGAGTGGTGAGGGAGAAGAATGGTCATAATTTGGGGAATATTCTCAGCAGAGGAAAACAATGTCCACCAGACTTTCTGGTGCATCATGGCAGTTATTTTATCTTCTGTATTTTAGTTTGCCATCTATGTCTCTATTACCTTCTCATTGCTACACGGGACATTGAACACATTCTTGTTTGTGCTTGGGGAACGCCCCACATGCAAGACAATCCAACAAGCTGAATGTCCCCAATTTGAGGTCGGAGCAGTCCCTACATGGGGGATTTATGTAAAATCAATTTTCTTTCATCAAGAACAGAATCGTAATATTCATTCTGATGAAGTTTGTTTCTCATATTTAGAGGAAATCCCAACCTATATGCAGAAATTTTGTCCTGAATGTTATGCTTTCATTAGATGCAAGTGGACAATTATCATAATTAACAGAGATAAATACTTTCTAACAGCTGTATGTGTTTCACTTACTGGAGTTATTGAAAAAATGTACTTAAGCATTATTCAAATTTATTTAATCTAATTTTATCCAGTTGTTTTCTTTTAAATGAAATTTATTATGAAATGAAAGTCTAAGAGCAGACCTAAGCTTTTGATGACAGAAAGATACGATGTTGGCTTCAAACTGAAGGGTACACTGATTTCTTCTGATGATTTCCACAGGGTACTCCAAAGAATATAAAGAACTAGAAATGTCCTTCATTGTCCCATAATGGGGAATTTTCAGTACAACAGCAGCAACAGTGAAGCAAAGCAAGGAGGTGCAGACAAAGATACAAATAAGCAATATATAAAAACAGAATAAAGAATGTACTGTAAGGGCAACATTTCAAAATAAGTACTGTGTAGTTGTAAAAAAAAGTGTACAGTAAGTTATGTTTTAAGGTCAGTCTACTGTATATATATTTTTGCTGTAATCGACACTAACACACTTTAACAACGATGCCATTTTGTCCAGCCTTGCTCATTTAACCAGAGAAGACCATACATTTCATGTGGAAATAAAACAAAAAACAGCACACTTTTACAACCCCATATTTACTCCAGCATCTGTATTACAAGAGTAACGTTCATATATTGTTTACTGCCTGTAACAATTCAAACTATTTGCCATCAGACTGTTCTGAAAGAAACTTTGTCTATTTTTCCATCACATCCTATTTGATTAAACTTGGCACATCGGACTAATTATTACAGATTCCCTATTCTAATCATGATTCTGTAATAACTGTAGATACTGTATATATGCAGTGAATGTTGAAACTCAAAGACGAAAACCTTTGACCCACTGGTGGCGCTGTAAGAAAAGCTACTGGATGGACACAGTCTTATACTCAGCACCGTGTCTGTGATCTACATTTCTGTGTTTTGATAAACAAAAAATACTGATGTTTACATAAAACCATTTTGGAAACCGTAATTAAAGAACATTTAAGAGAAAAAGAGAATATACTTCTCACATAGGGTTTGTAGCAGGAAGTAGCCGTTTGTTGCATACTTTACAAAAACCATTCAGGTGCATTTCACAGTGTAGATTGTGACACCTTTTTTGTAAAAACGGTGACAAAATGTTTCTGACAAATCTGATTTGCTCTAATGGCAGTGGTCTGACCACCACCTCCCTACCCTCAGTAGGTATATTTAGTGTTAGCCAAATAACAAGCAACAGTTCAGAAAGAAAAGAAAAAAAATCGCTGGGTATTTAGGTGATCAAATAATGGTAGGAAAAAAAAAAGCAGAAGCTCATAGTGACAGGAAATGCTCTTTGATGGTGTATTCGGCAATAGCCAATCAGACACATTTGACAAGATCGCCACACCTTTGTGTTTTACTGAAGGGTCCTACTGTCTGAACGAACACAGTCATCATGACTCTGTTGTGGCTCACATTGTTGCTTTTTCATGAAGGACGTAGGTATTCTTTACATGATTTGAGAGAGAATATTTTCTAATTTAAGTGTCTTAAATATGCATTTAGGTTCTGTTCAGTCTAACATTTAATGCTGTCATTTTTTTGTTTTACATGTTTTTTCCCATATAGATACTCTGGTTCCAGTGGTCACCGTTGAACTGGGTCAGTCTGTGACTTTGACTTGTGATTTTGCCATGAAATATCAGAGCAACACGTGGCTTTACTGGTACAAGCAGAGTGCTGGAGATATTCTGACTTTAATTGCGATGCTGCAGAAAAGTATAAGCCCCAACTATGGACCAGAAATCTCTGCTTCAAAATTCATTGCAACATCAAATGAGCACAGCAGCAATCTTACAATTTTCACAACAGTTCATGAAGATGAGGGGATGTATCACTGCGCTCAAATGGACAGACTTAAATCTATATGGAGTGGGACTTACATATCAGTAAAAGGTAAATCAGTCATTTCTATTTTCCTATATTTTTATATATTTTTTAACTCACAAATTGACCAGAGGGTATCATCATCTGAAATCCAACTAGACATGATTATATATCATGTCAGTAACATATAATATTTTTTATCTTCCAGTATTTTTAATATTTTTTAATTCATGAATTGACCAGTGTATCATTGCCTGAAATCCAACTAGACACGATTATGTTACTGAAAAATATATAATCTAGTATAAAGTAAGGCTCAGGGTGACAAAAGAACCAAATTTTTAGTGAGTAATTTGTTTGGAAACAGCATTCAATGTTTAATTTTAATATTTTTGTAAATGTGTTTTATTATCAAGTCATTAAAACATTTATTTCATTTGTATTTCTTACATATGAAATAAATAGACAATTTATTCCATTGTGTGCATCTGTAGTTATTATTGTTCCAAAAAGTACAAAAAATGTAAAACATTTTAGTGTATATTAGATAATGTGCAATATTTTTCACTATGTTGGTTATAATCATGGTTAGTAAGTAAACTATTATGTCTAGGGTTATAATATTCAGATCTTTCTTTGTCTAGTTGGAAAAGTAAAATAAATCATTGCAAACTGTGCAAAACCACAATGTTAAAAAATAAAGTCTCTAATTTATGGTAAAATATCGCCAGGATATTAACACAGATTTTAAAATTCTGGCAACCACAGCTGCCGGTATTTTACAGTAAGTTTGGGATAATTTATTTATTTTTTAACAGTGCACAAACTAACTTTAAATCAACAAAATTATCAAACTGTCAGGAACCAAACAGCACCCTGAAGTTAAATTAAATAATGAAAAAACTGAGCAGAAATATTTTCTTTGAACTGTAGAACTTAAACTAGTGAAAATGTTTAACCTGACCTTTTTGTTGCATAATCTGTCTATAGAAAATACATATACTGAATAAGAATCTCATATTTTATCTGCCTGCTACAACAGTGTTGTGACTTAATTTGTTTCAACATTTGACTGTTGTGCTTTTGTCATGACTGACATTTTTAAAATCAATGTGCCATAAAAAACATGTTGAAAGTTTTTGCTAAATTTATTACGAAAAAAAATTGAGTATTAAAATTCTACAATTATAAATTCTACAAATTTCCTGGTTATTTTACAATTTCCAGAAATTGTAGAAATTCTAAAATTTCCCTGAAGGAAAATCCCAAAGGGACTAATAAAGTTATCTATCCATCTTACTCTAGTTTTAGTATTTCAACACTTCACTAACAAACAATATGATTATTTCACAGGAATGCCTAAAAGGACATCAAACTACACTGTGTTTTCTCAGATAACGAGTATTGTTCAGCAGACAACGGTCTCTGGTCCCACCGAGCCAACAGGCTCAGAGACTCTGCAGTGTTCGGTCCTCTCTGACTCTGAGAACACAACCTGTTCAGGAGAACCCAGTGTGTTCTGGTTCAGATCCAGATCAGAAAAGTCTTTTCCCGACATGATTTACACCGATGGAAAAAAGTCAGAAAATTGTAAGAAGAGATCTGACTCTCCGAAGAGATGTTTTTATAACTTCTATAAGAATATCAGCTCCTCTGATGCCGGGACTTACTACTGCGCTGTGGCC